TATAAATAACTTTATATTATTATATTATTAATAGTTTATACTATATATAAGTATTATATACTTAAAATTTTAAAGTTATATAATTAATAATTTATAATATTTATTTTAATATTGATTTTACTTTTAGATTTAGCATACTATCTATTATCTATATTTAAAAATTTAGGTATATAGCTATAGTAGCTAAAAAGTTAGAGGGGGTGGACTGTAGATAAAAACCGTGCGTCAGGTGAGACCGTGCGTCAGCTGATTAATCACGGTATGCGCGACCAGCTTGCAACATGCTGCAATTTGCTGCAAAGTGCTGCAAAATGCTGTAACATGCTGCAATTTGCTGCAACATACTGTTCGAGCTTATTGCTCGTACTATGTAGCAGCTTTCGTCAAGCGTTCCTCCTGTCTTGACAGTAGGTGCGCATATCTAACACTTCTAGTTACTTTTTTACACTTAGTAGAATTTTAGTGTATAATGTTGCTTAGTATTTTAAAGTAGTTACTTTACTTTATATAGTTTTTATTACTTAGTATAATTAAAAATTCTAGCTATAAGCTAAAGTTTTTAGTATTAGTAAATAATCTATTTATAAAAATAAACAGCTTTACATAATTAAGCTATAATTATAAAAAAGTAAAACTACACTTACTATTATTTATCTACTATTAAATTTATGTGTTAAGTGCTTTAATGTTATTATATAAAAAGTTTATAGTTTATGTAGTAATAGATAAGTTAAATGCTACCTCTAGTTAACACATAGATATAATATATGCCTCTCTTACACACTACTTAACATATTATTATATAGCATTCTTATTTTTTAAGTTAATTATATAAAGGTAGCTTACTTATTTTTTCTAAGTAAAAACTACTATGTTATATGTAAGTGTTGCGTATACTAAGAGCCTTAGCTAGGGCTTAGAGCCTAGGACGCAGCTTAGGATCTAGAGATATTATGTTCTAAAGCTTAGTGTATATAAGAAGAGCCTTTAGCTCTCTTAGATAGTAGAGTTACTTCATCTAATCTTCTAAACAGCTACTGCTAGGCTATTTTATCCTCTATAGTAAGTTTAATTCTTTTACTATTAAACTAAGCTGCTTTTTTACTAGAATAGTTTTGCTTTTTATATAAAACTTTACTTTTTATAGTTTCTTTTTTTTATATAAAATTCTTTATTATAATACTTAAAGTATTATCTATTCATAGGCCTATAATACTAAAAGTGTGCTCTTTTTTATTAGTAATTAAGAAGTAAACGTTATATAAAAAGATATGCATACACAGCTTTTTTTATAGTAGTTATAGGATGTTTTAAACTAATACAGTTTTAATTTAGCAGCTTTATATAAGAGTTGTACAACCTAGAGTATTATATTTAGTAAAAAGCTTTAGTGTATCTTCTTTAGTAGCTTTATATACAGTGTACGCATAAGCTTATCTATTAATTACATATATGCTTATGTAATATTACATAGTTTAAAATGCATTCTATACATAGCTTTTAGGCTTACTTTTATAGCTAAAAGTAGTCTCTAGCTTATTCTCTAAATAGTTAGTAATTAAATATAAAAAAAAAATTTTTATCTAAGTAGCTAGTAAACACTAGGCAGGATTTCTTATATAGTTAAGTTATTTTACCTTTTACTTCTTATATAGTTAAGTTATTTTACCTTTTACTTCCTATATAAAGCAAAGGTTAAAAATCTAACCTTTATGCCTTATTAAGTTGTACACTATAACCTTAAAATTGCTGTTAGTAATTAAAGTGTTTATCTTTATATAGTCTAATTTTTTAAATAGTTTTTTAGGTGTAGTAATTACACTATTTATATAAAGCTTAATAAATAAGGCCTAATTATCTTTCTTCTTCTAGGTTAGAAATACCTAGTCTAGACTTTATGCAGGTTTCCTTTGCCTTTTACTTCTTTTAGTATCTATATCTTCCCTTTGCACTAGTGCAGCATTGCTATCCTAAGGGGCTTAGTCTATAGTAGGCTTTAGTTTTGCCTCTGTAGCATTTTTATAAAGTTATTTTTTTTTCTCTTTTATAAAAAATCTTTTTATATAAAGGTTAGTTTATTTAGGTCTTTTATTATAAGTAGGTTGTCTTTCTTTTTTTCTTTATAGTATAGTTTAACCTGCGTACATTAGAGCTTTTGTGAAGCTATGTGAGGCACTAGAGATATAAGGAACTGCATTGAATGTATTGCTAGAGGAGTCCTTTACAGGAGTCTATATATATGCGAAATAAGTGGGTGGGTCTTGGCAACAAACTATAGTGCTGATGCATCTGCTAATGCATTTAACTATTGTGTGACTATGCTAACAATGCATCTAAGTGTCATGATTGCAAACGGTATTAGTTATATGTTAATATGTTATGTTAGCTAGTTAGAGATAAAGCTAGAGTTGCTTGTTACTTTATAGTAGTTAGTTATGCGTTGTTGCGCGCTGTCTTACTTCTTGTTATACGCTGCCTCTAAACAGCCTTATATAAAAAGATAAAACAGACCTTCTAGTGTTAAATAAGCACTACTATTTATATAAGACCTTTAAATAGTGTTATACAGACAAGTTTTCTACTTGTTATTAGGTAACTAAATAGAGATTTACAGCTACTTACATGTAAATTAGACTCTGTTTTTACTCTTACTAATTTATAGTTAAATTAGTAAAAAAAAGGATTTCTCTTATACATAATTTTTTAAATAGAAAGGTATAAAAAAAGCTTTCTATTTTATAGCATTTAAACTACTAATTAGTGTTAAATAGGCTCTATGCTAGCTATGCAAGGCAAAGAGATTTGCACAGTGTACACATCGCGCGGGGGGGGGGGGTTGCAGGTAACTAGTGTTGATTCTTCTTGTTCTAAGTCTGTGCGAAGGAAAGGGGTATTTATCTGTCTGTGCGTACAACTGTGACACAAGACTATGTCACGTGACGCCCAACCGCGTTTCTAAATACTGCTATTCAGACATATATATTAATATAAAAATGCTAAATTAACAGCTAATTAGTAGTAAAACTAGTTAAAAAGGTAACATAAATGCGCCTAAGAGTGCTAGGCTGCATAAGAACATTAAAGACACCTGTGCTAACGGTGTTAGAGTTAGAGTTAGAGTTAGAGTTAGAGAGTTAGAGAGACATGTGTGTGTGTGTGCATGTGTCTATATGTACAGGTAGAAGAATCTGTTACTGTTAGCACTATATAAATAAATAAAAAAGCTAGAGGATTATATAACAAAGTTTATAAAGTTAATGTTTAAGAAAAAAAAGTTAAAAAAAAACCCCCTTGTTATATACACCTTTCTATGTAAGAATTCTGCACTATTTTGCTCTAAAATCCTGTATCAAAAGCCTGTACACTGCTAATATTTATAAGATAAGTGTATAAAGCTAGATAATAATAGCGTAAACACTTTATATTATTTATAAAGCTATTTATAAAGTATAACTAGCTTATTTTAATGTACAGCATTACTAAGGCAAGTCTTAATAAATAAAGTAAAGTATAGGCAGAACATAATTAAATAAACTTGTATAGACAAGAGGGAGGTAACTAGTATAAAAGGTAACTTTTTAGATAAACATAAAAAGTTGCTAGTGTTTATACATAGCAGCAGCGTTACAGTCTAGATACTAGTATTGCGCACAACAAGGATCACGTAACTATGTTACATAATGCTTATGCGCGAACCTCTGTGCGCAAACATGTAAATATTCCCCTTTTCCTCTGTACAGAAGAACAGACAAGAGCAATAACTAGAAACTTGTTGCCCTCCCTACCTACTCTGTACGCTGTGCACACTGTACACTACTCTTTCTTTTGCTACTTAAGCGCTTATACTATAAGCAGCTAGCTAAAAGAGTCTATTTAACAACTATACTATAAAGTTAACAATACTATAGCTACTACTACTAGTAAAGTTACTAAGTTAAAACTTATACTACTTATAAAGTAAATATTATAAATTAGATTTCTTTTATTATTTAATTAATTAATGCAGATGTTGTGAAGCAAAATGTAATTTAAGTACAAAAATGTTGTTACCGTAGACTGTTTGCTTGTGTGGACCGCTCGCTTCTGAAATACGTTACTATAGTAGCATATTATTTTTCTTTAACTCTAAGTTAATATAATACTAAAGATGGCAAGGTATATATCTTCTTCTGTATAGGTTGTTTGTACGTTACATTGTTAAGACATTATGGGTTCTCGCTGCGCAGGCGTTCTGGTAGGTTCGCTAGTCTGCTCACGTGGTTGATCCGCTCTCTTATGAAGCACGTTGTATATATCTCCTAGCTCCGAGGGCTTATGTGAACAATACATCCCTTCTTTCGTAAAGCATGTCCCCTGAAAGACTCCGTGTATTATTAACATATTTATTGTCTCACGTAATTCCAGCCCGACCGATCTCCGAAGGAGAGAGGAGAACCTCCACCTTCTTCTGCACTCCCTGATCCTTAATCCTCTGCAGCAACATTCCCTTCTTGGCCCTCACAGCCCTCTCACGACTCATCACCAACTCAGCCGTAGTATCAGAAACATGCGTAATCACACCCGCACGTGCCATGGGATCCCGTCCACTAATACTCGCCACCACCCTCTCCAAACACTGACTTAACTCTTGAAACATGTTCCCCGAGACCTCAAGAATGAGCTGGAGCTGCGCTACATGGCAAGTCGGTGCCAAGAACATACCAATCGAGATCGGTGGGAGCAGCTGTAGAATTGTATCTTTCAATACTGGGGCGAATAAATCTTGGGGATGAAGGACAGATTCTATAAGACTCAGCCAGCATGTGAAAATTTTGTCATAGCGGGCAAGAAGCTTTGTGAAGCAGGATAGGACTAGAAGGATTTCTGCGTCGTCGACTGCGTCGGGGATCTTGTCACGATCTGATTTGTCATACGGTATGTATGAAGTGCAAAGTACTTGAACTAGGGATTGAGAGTTGTTGAATGTGTGGGCATAAAGGTCGGGATGTCCGGATGGTACTTCGACTAGAATGGGGCTGTCAGGCTGTAGGCGGATATTGTCGAGTTCGATTATTTGAAAGATTGCTATTGCGACGTCTGCGATTGGATTGATGACAGACCTTGAACTTGAAAGAAGATCATCTCTTATCATGTTTTCGTCCATGCCTCTGAAATGTGCTGGTGGGCTGGAGGAGACGATTGAGCCTCTTCCGGATCTCTAGCTCTGTGTTAGAAAATCATTATTGGGAGCCTAGAGCAAGATGCTCACTTCTGCGAAGACACGGTCATCTCCCCATATCCTATTAGCTTCCACAGAGCGTGATAGCAATGCCGGCAGCTCTGTGGGCGTATGAACGCTCAATATGGAGTTGAAATCGTCGACATTCCAAGTCTGTACCTGATTGGCGCCTCTGCCTATGTTCTCATCTTAAATGAATTAGCCTGCTCGTGCCACTCAGACAGAAACTGTATTCTTACTTGCAGCGAAAGGTGGGGTGAAAGGTGTTTCTATAGTATGCGTTATCGAATGCTGTCTGGACATTCGTATCCGTTTTGAGGTGTCGTAAGGTCGCCGGGCACTAAAGATGCAAGCTAAGCCTTGTTGATCGCATCTGTTACATTTTGCTCCAAATCTTTCGCATTTCAGCTTCTTTGAGTGACAACGATCACACGCATCTCGAACTTTCTCTAGAGAAGGCTGCATTCTAAAGCCCCATACGACCTTGGAACTTGAACGGGCTGGTTGGAACGGGCTGGTTGCAACGGCAAATCGAAGACAGGTATCTTGGCCTAGTAATACCCGGACCCTGTAGGCTACCTCGGCCTTCTGCGTTGAAACCAAGGTATATTCTTGAACGCATTATACAGTAAGTTGCTTTATTGCGGCGTAAAATTCGAGAGCCAGGGAACTGATTTCCCATGGCCAACCCCGAGCTATATTCCACCCTGATACCCTTTTACCTTACCCAACTGTGCATTAGTTTATCGACGCATTGAACCCGCCGAGCTGTGCCACACTCCTGCGCCAGTGTGACGTTTAGGCTGGAAGACATCAAACTTTGTTACTGAGTCTTACGCCGAAGACTTTGGATTCGATAAAAATAACTCCCTCGAGAGACAGTGGGGATCCAAATCTGCGAAAGCACCCTTCATGTCGATCCCCTGTAAATGTTTCTATATGTACGACACTAAATATGTCCACTAAGCACGGCACGGCCCGAAGACATCTGAAGTGTTATAGCTGATCTGGGAGATGCCGATCATACGCAGGGCAAACTGCAATGCCTTCCATTTAAGCAACTCTAACAGTCTCTAGCTCCGCCCGTTGTGGCACCTACCCTTTCCTAAACAGTTGCATATATTGTTTGATTGGAATTTTAACCCCTGTACATGTGAAGACTAGGTTGTCTTCATAAAATATAGTTGTTGGACCCCGCGAATCGCTTCTCTACCGGATAGTGGATCTCGGCGTTTTCATGCAGAATCGGCGTTTTGGGGCCAGTCACCCACACCGATCCCTAGCCTTGAATGGCGAATAGGAAATAGTAAATCCTGTAGAACGAGAGGTTGTGCTGTCAGCACGAGACTTTTGCCGGGTTTTAACGGCGTGCAGTTGGCTGTAGGAGCTTCGGACTCCGTCAGCGCCAATCGTACCGCAATTAACTCGACACGTTCGCGAATCTGGCTACTTGGGCTCGGCCAGGGCTCTCTTAGGCCATTTCATAAATTGTGTCGCCTTTTCTCCCATGCTTCTTCTAACGCTTCGCCTCTCAAAATGTCGAACATCACAGAGTACGAGATGCGGCATTGGGTCGACAATCGAGCTCCAGAAGTTGTTGCCCTGAATATTGTCTGTCTTTTTTCAGTTTTCGTTACTTTTGCAGTTCGATTGTACGCGCAGAGCCTTGTGACGAATCCATGGAAGGCTCTAGACACATGGTTTGCACTCGTCGCGTCGGTGAGACCTTCCAAGCTACCATTCTCAAATGAAAGTCTGGCTAAACTCTTAAGGTGTTCGCTGCGGGAGTTGCTGGCTGTATACTCTATGCGGTGAAACTTGGGCTTGGAAAGCATACGGTTAGTCCTCAATGCATCTTTTTCCAAGCAGTGACTTACATGAGTAGCGTCGCATTGTTTTGGAAGATCTCTCCCCCCCAGACAATCTCGCAGATATCTTCAAGGTGTGGCCACGATGTCTCAATGTCCTGAATATAACTACTAAGGCTTTCTTTAGTATGGATACATTCAGTCCATTCTCCAAGCCGTTTGCATAATGTTTACCAAGCTTGCTATCCTAGCGCTTTATACCCGAGTCTTCGGCCTACTCCACCATGACCGCTGCTTCACATATGGTGTGTACGTATGCACAGTCTTCAGCGTCCTTCTAGGTATAGGGGAAATTAGTGTGTTCATCCTCCAATGCGTTCCGCCACAAGTCTTTTGGAACCGCATCTACTTGTTGTTCCCAGTCGGTCACCCGAAAGGCCCAGTTGAAGGATATTGCATGGACCAGGTCACTCATGTGGTAGTACCCATTGCACTGGACCTTGTTTCCGAAGTGGCGATTATGCTGCTCCCAGCTCGGATCTTATGGAATTTGTGCCTGCCATGGAAGAAGAAGATAGGTTTGGGTGTGACATTCAGTCTGGGTATTTTCGTCTCCGTAACAAACATCGTACGCATAAGCATCTACGCAAGGATGGTCAACGGTGGCGATATAGCTTGGGATGACATCGACGCTTTTATCTGGACCATCGTCCAGATGTCTTTTGCTGTGGTCTGTGCAAGTATTCCGCCATGCGCACCATTGTTGAAAGTGTTTTCGAAGAGAAAAGGTGGATCAAGTAGGGGCTATGGCTCTTCTCTTCCTCTCTCTGATCTATCGAACCCTCAGTCTAGCCATCGGACGAAAGGACAGGACAAAATTTCGTTCCATCGAATGTTTAACGTGTCATATAACGATCGAAAGACCGGGGACGGAGAAAGTATACAGGAGCTTAATGGGATCTATAGGTCGGTTTGAATTTCATCCATAGTCCCATATAAGTGTGATTTAGAAGGGCTAGAGACGTCACAAGCGTGTGTTAGGAGATACTCGCTAGTGATAGATAAAGTAGACTTACAGTAGTTTTATTAGCTTTTCTAAGTGGATAGTTATACTAGTTTATTAGTAGTAACACATACACGTTCCTATGATCTTTACTCAAATGCGTGAGAATAGAGTATTGTTGTCAGATATGCGCACCTACTGTCAAGACAGGAGGAACGCTTGACGAAAGCTGCTACATAGTACGAGCAATAAGCTCGAACAGTATGTTGCTGCAAATTGCAGCATGTTGCAGCAAATTGCAGCACTTTGCAGCATTTTGCAGCATGTTGCAGCATTTTACAGCATTTTACAGCATTTTGCAGCATTTTGCAGCATTTTGCAGCAAATTGCTGGATGGATGGATGGATGTCTTTATTACGCCCGGCTCTAGCCTAGAGGGCACTAGTAGTTTATTACATAAGCAATTCCTTGGTAATGGCATACCTCCTAATAGCCCATACATGTAAAATATCTATCTCTCTGTATTTTCCTGGCGAACTCTCCTATACCTCTTGTATTTAGTAAGTAGCAAGTATTCTTGAGGCTCTCTCCTCTAAGTGTTCAGTGTCCCTTTGTCGGCGAATGAAGCGGAACCTGCTGGCGTACGAGTGTTAGTATAGTGTAGGATTATTCTTAAAGTCGCAAGATCCTAGGAGTTCTGCAATCGCGTGCAGCAGCTGTGCAACGGCGGCGGTGGGCCTTGTTTGTGATAGGTAACAACGGTGTGGGTTTTGAAAAGGGTTCCGGTTGCTCTGGAACCGGAGTTCTAGGTCGTGGACAGAGAGGACAGGCGACGATTGATGTGGCGATCTACGGTGGGGCGGCGTAGTTTTTGGGCTTGATGTTCTGGCTTTTGGAGTAGGGGCTGGTGGTTTAGATGCCGAGGGTTGGAGAGGGTGACATAAGTGTGAGGGGAATGGTGGCGGCGAGGTGTTTTTGCTAGGGCTGGATGACGTACTAGCAGCCACACTTGCATATGACGGCTGAGAAGGTATGCGCGATGACGGTGGGTAGGACGGCGATGGGCGTGGCAGTGGTTGGTGTGGTGACGATGGGCGCGGCGACGGTGGGTGAGGTGGCGATGAGCGTGTCGGCGGACGTGACTCAGACTGCTGAGATGGGGACAGGTTGGAAGAAGAGGTAGAC